AGTATATGCTTTAAACTTTCGTTTTATTTTTTTGAGTTTGAACTTCATCTTGATATTTTCAACATTGTATTGAGAGTTATAACATGTTGATATAATGTTTGACTATTACTTGTTGACTTGAAATAATTTTGACCGGAACGGAACGCCATAGATACTCCTAATTCTTTAAATATGCACTGGAAAAACTTCTTTTTTTTTGAGAAAAAAAACTGTTATTATCTCCATTTTATCTTGATCTTTTAATAGCATGACCTTTCACTGGAATAGTATCGCTGTAAAAACTGCGAAAGAACGTCGAATGAAAAAAGTTTTATCTCCATATCATGCTGATTTTTAGGATCAATTTAGTTAGTCTGCAGCCAAATATTTGTCTGCAATGGTGCTCCCATGAAGAAAATTATTGTCTGTCAATCATATATTTCAGTACAGGAACGTTATTTTAATTGCCTAACACACAAAACAGGAACGGTATGTCAATAATAAAATAAAAGCACAATGACAGAAAACTGAATATAGCGAGCTAATAGCAGTTGTTAGAAGCTTACATGTGTGTATGTCTAAGTGCCCAATACGTACCCTAAACTTCCTGGTTGAAGAATGCGGAAAAGATTGAACAGTTTCGTTTATCACTTGTTCTCTTGCCAGTTTCGCAGTATTTGCATTTAATTACAAGTCAGTCGTTACATACAGATCGATACATACATACAGACAGATTGTCAAACCGATATCAGTTAGGATGTGTTCACGCTGCTTGTTCCCGGTTGTTGTGACAAGCCTGGAACAAATTGTCATATCACCTTGTTACAAGGTTGGTAACATATTTAACACAAGAGTAATGCAGCTGCTATCATGAACTTGTTGGAACAACAACAACTTGTTGCGAGTTTGTTGGCCTCGTCAACCTTGTTACAAGATGACAACAACGTGTTCCAGAATTGTCAACAACTGGGAACAAGCAGTGCGAACACATCTTGTTGACAAACTATGAGATTCGTATGACGAATAGCTGAACCATGTCAGGTGACACGTACGGTATACACCCGGAAACAAAATTAAACAAATTGTGTATTGGTTGCGTGCATAAAATACCCTATTTTTTCACCGATAATGCTTTCGTGCTTTCCTTAATAAATAATTTACGACCAATTTAGGGCAATAAAACTGTTTTCGAATATTGTGTTGTGAATGTGTTTTCAAATATTGTGAGTGGCACTCCTAATTTTCCGTTATTATTTTTCTAATTTATTGTGAGCTAAATCCTTTTCCCCTATACCTTATTAAAACGGATATCCGTTTAACTTTCACAACATTTTTAATTTTCAATTTTACGTATTATGACTCCGTGTTCATGGCCGTAAGTTTACATAGCAATAATTCAAACATAAATATGATTGTTATGTAGTATTAGAGCGTCAAACCGTAATAGGTTTTTGGTATTTGTTAAATTAGCCTACGTCATTTGCTTATAAAGATACTTATATGTGCATGTCATCCAATGCTTATATACATATGGCTGAGAAATTCCGGAAGATAGGTTGGCTTTTTATCCGAAGTGCTTATGTGGGAAGGACGTGGTTTATAATATAGTTTCAGTCTTTGGTCTGACATTTGAGAGTGTCTGTTGTTTAGCCTATGGAATTTTGTGTGATTTTATGGCTTTTGCGCTTCAATATTTGATATAGATTGATGGTTGACGTATAACATCGCGGTACACATATTCAGAACGAATTATGACAACATTCAATCGAACATTTGAAGAATGAAAATGCCTCTAAACTTTCTCAATCGCCAATCACTGAACTTGGAACACTTACGGCGACAACAATGGCGAGACAGTACAGAAAATATCACGGTAAATAATTTCATATATCCTTGAATATTTAGGCTGTTATAGACTTATTACCCTATAGGTGACTAATATATTACCAGGTAACAAGTATTTTATTATAATACTGGATATACAACGCGTTTAGTATGAAAATAATTCGTTAAATTATACACTTTTTGTACATTATTGTGAAAAGCCAGTCATTATGTGGTTGACCATGACAAAATACTGATTTTGTGATAATGAACCCTTAATGACACTGCACAATGTACATTCCATCATGCTATTTGACTATACTTGATATTGTCATAATGGTGGTTGATTTTATTGCAAAGCTGGCCTGGAAATAGCGGCCACAAATCAGATAGTTTTATAATAATGTATTAGCTACGTTATGGGAAACTATGGGAAACTATTTTCAAAGGTGATAAAACTATAAAAGCTATCATTTAGTGGGAACCACACAACCGTAGTCAAAGCAAACTTTTCACTTCAATTAAATCGTTACAATACTAGTGAAATATTATTCAGCAGTTTCGAACTAGTTCAAAAGCATGATACTGTAAATTTGATAAAATATAAATGTCTATAAAATAGTACTGATACACTATCAATATTTCGGTTATTTCCCATTTATCCAAAACGTCCTATAAAATTATATCTATAGACTATATATATCTCCAATAAAATATATCACTAGGTTTATTACTATGGTTTATTCTTTACAGTCAGATACATTTTTATCGGATAATTTTGTAGAAAATGTAATTTGATCAATTAATAATCTGGTTCTAATTATCGGCTCATTGAAGAGCACAATTAATAACCCATGGTAAGGTCTAGAACAGATATATTTGATCGACCACGTAACAACACGAAGTATTCACGAGTTGCCGAGAGGCATGGTGGTTTTGCATGGTGTGCTATGGTCGATGGTCACAGATAATCCGATTTTGTAAGCATTTTAACTTAAGAATTCCGCTGCCTTTGCAACGCTGTAAGATTTTACAACTTTATTAAAACGTTTAGGCACTATATCAATATAATATATGGTTACTCAGCGGTGCATATTTGCTAAAATAAAGTGCAATTATTTCACTTTTAATATAGTTGAGTCAAATCGCAAGACCTCTCGTAAATGGCGAAGCAGTCATGTTAAGTACTCCGACCCCAGAACGCCAGGTAAGCTTTTAACAAAGTTTTTAAAGAAATTTAGACGCCGCATTCCGCTTATATTGCGAACACGAAATCGTGTCAATATATTGAGGTCATAAATATTTCGTTTGTGAAGTTTTATTTGCGAGATAATGAGATTTCAACTAATGATATGTCTGGCCTAAATTCTTTGAAAAATTGACTGGCGGTCAAGGGGTTATTTATATCGTTGATGTGAGATAGAACTGCTATTATTATTGATGTTTTTAACTTGAAATTGTTGAGGAAATCGCTTCCTTAGACACAAGACGAAATACGATCGGTTGATATTTGACCTGATTTTGTTTATGCAACAAAATTCATGTGGCATATGCAAATTGAACGTTTTACCGAGGAAGACGCGTTTGATTTCTGATTCGTACAAAGTGAAATTATTAAAGTGTCAAGTGAATTTATATTTCACATGAATGTAAGACAAAGGCTTTTCATAATATGGACTGACATTTCTTTGAATTTGTGGTCTTTGAATTCGTTGCAAAATTTCACACCTAATTCAATGAAGATCAAGCTTTATAAAAAATGCAATCTTTGACTTTTAGTAGTTGATGCTATACAAAAGGGCAAAAATAGAAAAAGGATATATTTTTTCGCAATGGTGAACAGTTTAATTAAAATACACTTATAGTTTTATTTCTCACAGCTGGGTCTGAAAATTGTATATATTATATAACCTTTCCACAAAACCCTTCCACAGAATAGAGACCTTACCAAAGGCAGACTTCATGGTTTTATCAATGATTTTGATGTAAGGCCACTACAAGTTAATCTTTAGTTTCTGGTCCGGCCTTACCACAGAATAGGAAGTTATACCAGAAGCGTAACTCTAGTCGTTTCCCTTATTGTTTGACGTCCACGAAAATTTTAACTCGCTCATGTCAGGCCACGCCATCCTGGCTAGTACAGCCGGAAGTTTTTATCAGGATTTGGTAGGTACAAAGTGCCGGTTGTACTAGCCAGGATGGCGTGATTGATGACGAATCGCTTGTAAAAACGCGGACAAATATTTGCTCGAGTTACGCTTCTGGTATAACTTCCTATTCTGTGGCCTTACCTTCATTTATGATGCGGGCGGGCGGGTGGTTAGGACTATAGGACATAATTACAATTGTGGCTTTACCCACATTTTTTGTCTTGTCCCTTTTCATGCTAATTGTATCAAATTGTTATGAAATTTTACATAAGATTACAAAGGATTTTACATATCAAAATGATCTATTAATATTTCTAGTTTTTTTTTACCTCGTAATATCGATAAGGCAGCGGTTTTTACCATTCAATACTACATTTTGCTAGGTCTTTTTAGTGTAAATTGAATATTTATCGTTCTATAAGTTAAATCCTTCGCAAAAATTTTCAAGAACTAGAAATTAATTGTAAATAACAAATTAGTCCTGAAATAATACTTTAGGGAGAAAGGACGCGGGCGGCGGACCAGAAACTAAAGATTAACTTGTAGTGGCCTAACCGTTGCAATGCTGTCACCATGTGACAGTGCCAGTGTGCTTAGGAGAGGCATTCACCCCCCTGAAAATACTCAAAATGGGGGGCATTCAGGGGGATGAATGCCTCTCGTAAGTGCACTTGCTAGGAACATGGCTAGTGCATTTTGATGATGAATCATGGCGTGGTAGAGCGGTTATGCTTTTTTGCTTGAAATCATAACGCACAATACAGCATTTACCCACAATCCTTTGTAAACTTAGGGATGACGGTTTTATCACAGAATAGGAAGTTATACCAGAAGCGTAACTCGAGCAAATATTTGTCCGCGTTTTTACAAGCGATTCATCATCAATCACGCCATCCTGGCTAGTACAACCGGCACTTTGTACCTACCAAATCCTGATAAAAACTTCCGGCTGTACTAGCCAGGATGGCGTGGCCTGACGTGAGCGAGTTAAAATTTTCGTGGACGTCAAACAATAAGGGAAACGACTAGAGTTACGCTTCTGCTATAACTTCCTATTCTGTGGTTTTATGTTCTTGCCCAAACACGCTATTACCAAAACGGCAAACTATCCAAGTTAACATCAAAGCGGTTTTAAATTTTGGGCATGTTTCTCAGCAGAACAGAATTGTTAAGATGTCTTTTGTGTCTCAAGCAACTGCCAAAAGTGCCACTCTAGCACCCCCCCAAGCAAGAATCAAACTTGTGGTCCGGTGGTATTTTCAATGCATCTTCGGTGGTATTTTCAATGCACAGTTACAGAGTCTAGTTGCAAAGAGTAAAAACCTTTGAGTAAAAACCTTGCATCAGTAAGACTATTTCAACAAGTTGTACATTTCTTGCAAAATCATACACTTTTAACATGAACTACAAATTATAATGTACAAAATTGCCTGCCACTTTCTCTTTGCTATGGATTGAGATACAAATACAAATACCTATGCTTGTACAGAGTGTTCGTTCTATACACTGACTATGATAAGGTAGCAACTCTGCGCTATTTTCACGGTATGGCTTGATATTTATTTTAATTTATTTTTCATCGCACCAGATCAGAGATTGGGGTGAGGAAAAGGAGGAAGGCGCGATATACCATGTTGTTTTGAAGAAAGTTCGTTACCACACAACAAACAAGCTTCCATTTAACGATGAATTTGTTTCACATTTGGAGTGGGAGACTCAGAAACGACGAACAATCAAAGCTGGGACTCTGGCAAAGTTGGTCGAACATTTGGTCCCAGCAAACGATCATATTGATGAGATTGATACTGGATTTCTGACTGTCTTTCTTACTATGTATCAAACCTTTTCATCAACTGAAGAAGTTGTGGCTCTGTTGATCGATAGGTAATCAATAATATTGGCAATGCATGTAATCAATAATTGTAGTTGATAGAATCCATATAATCACCAGTAGAGGTTAGGGCTTTGTTAATTGAAAACAAATACTTGTATCCAGGATAATAGAATGCATTTATAACAATAATTTCTATAAATGGAACTAATTTCGTGAATTTGTTTAGGTTCAAATCAGTAAAGAGGAAAAAATTATCTAGCGATTTCGAAAATTTTGTAAGGTATTTCCCTATATTCATTTTTAATACTTTATTAGAATTTTTATTTTTATTAAAATTTCCATCTTACTTTAGCCACCGACATTTGTAGTATTGAATGCTATTCCTATACTTGTAAGAACTGCAAGAAGTTTGAATCGCCCAAACTCATGCAGTTACAGAAATCACAACCATTTCAGTTTTTGATACTTTTTTACTAGGGTGACGATTAATGTTCTATGGGTGTGGTTAGAAAACTTCCCTGGTGACTTTAAAAGAGACTCCAGTTGTAAATTACTGAAACAACTGCAGACGTTTGCGAAGAACGAGCTAAAGGGAAAACATGGCGAGGAAGTCCTGAGAAAGACACAGCAATTGCTGGATAATACTTCACCTTCTCATGGTAGGTTTGCAAGATTTTAGACAATACACCCTTCTGAAAAGTACTTAGCCTTGTCTGTAGAGCCTCAATGCTCAGGACAGTTTAGAACAGATAGAGCTATCCACTATAAACAAATTATGTCTTTTCTTAGTAATATTCAAATCAAGTGATGTGGCCAGAAGCGATGGAGGTGAAAGTGGAGAAAGTATCTCGTTTGCAGAAACCTGGGGACTAATTGATTATTCGCCAACTGAAATTGCAGAGCAATTGACATTAATCGATGCTGTATGTATTGTGTTTGGTTACATTCTGTTTGCTAGATGTTATATAATACTTCATTCACGAAGAGATTGTAGAGAGTTTGGCAACTGACAACAGCAATGACTTCGAACATTTTAACTATATTTTTAATTACATACAGGACCTGTTCAAGGCGGTCATACCTCGGGATTGTGTAGGATGTGTGTGGTCAAGGCGGGATAAAAATGAAAATAAAAACAGACCATCAAGTGTTAAAGCTACGGTCGAACAATTCAATGCTGTCTCACGACGAGTGATTACGACCATACTTTTCGGGGAGTCTCGGGGAAGTCCGAGTATTATGCGACGAGCAAAACGTCTCGAGGCGTGGATCGAAATAGCGCAGGTATGGTAAAACAATTTACAATGTTTCATTGTCCACCGGGCCCTTTCTATCTTTTTGTTTGACTGCCTGTTTGTTTGCCTGTCTATTTGTCAGATCTCTGTTTTCAAAAGTCTGAACTCCTTTTTCAAATGCCAAAACTTCGTTTTCAAATGCCAGAACTCGGTTAAATTGACAATATGAAACATAACTCAAAAAATTATCAAGCTGTGATGAAATTTTTGTCTAGACTTGTCTAGATTAAAATTTTGTTCATTAGGTAGTAGGTCCATTGGCTTAGTTTAATTTAAAATAAAAATTAGGAACAAAAAGCTACATATCATTTCATTGCTCTGTTCATTTTTACCTATAGGGATGCAGAGATCTGAAGAACTTTTCCTCGTTAAAAGCAATCATGTCAGCTCTCCAGTCAGCTCCAATACATCGGCTGAAGAAAACCTGGGGCTCTATATCAAGGTAAAGCCTTGGGCAAACTAGAAAACATTGTTGCAGAAACATTGTGATTCGCCATGTTTCCTCAAGTATTTCTGTGTTTGCCCACCCGTGGAAACATTGTTGCAGCAACACAATTTGCTTTCCAAGAAGCAGAAATGTTTCCTATCAAATTCAGAAACATTTCATGTTTCCCAAGATACGATTTTTGTTCCAGTAACATTATTCCCTAGTGTTTGCCCACCTTGGGAAACATGACGAAACATTGGCAGGAAACAATGTTTCCTAGTTTGCCCAGGGCTCAACACAGGAAAAACTATGCACTATAACTAACTGTAGGTCGAATATGTGACAGTGTTGATCTAGGTAAATAGAACCTACACATGTACATCAGTCGTAGGAACAGGGTCTTAGCTAGGATTTTAGATCTTGGGCGTGTTTCTAATGACCAGGGCGTGCACATGTCAATTGACCACTTGCGTAATAGACCAAATTTTGATCTCAACAAAAATTTCATCACAGCTTGAAAGAGCATCACAAAATTAGTAATATTCCAAAGTTTCGTTGCGAAATGTTGTAAAATGCGGAAAATATACCCTTGCGAAGTTTGCGATTTTCAGTCATTTTAGATTACAAACGGGAAATTGACATCCCCAAACCCTTTGAGGCTGTCAATTTCCCGTTTGTAATCTAAAATGACTGAAAATTCAAAACTTCACAAGGCTATATTTTCCGCATTTTACAACATTTCGCAACGAAACTTTGGAATATTACTAATTTTGTGATGCTCTTTCAAGCTTTCAATTTTTGTCTAGACTTGTTTAGATCAAAATTTAGTCTATTACGCAAATGGTCAATTACCTTGAATAGCAGAATCATGGCTCTAGTTATGCTCGCCAACAACAATGCCTGTGGTTGTTCTATGCTTTGCAACCAAATACAAGGGAGCATACGCTCATATTGCGCACTGACATTGAAATATTAAGTTATTTCAACAACTGTTGGGGGTATTTAAAACCATTTTAACACCATACAGTTCCCATTATCCATCAAAACATTAAAACATCACGGATCACTTTTGCCAATTCAACAACAACAGTAGATTCTACAAACTTTCTTGACGTAAATAGAAAGAAATTCTGTCTGTTGTAAGTAGCAACACGTTATTTTATGAACCTACATGGCCTTATATAAATAGTGAAGCCGCGTTCATTTTATCTAGCCGTGTTTTTCCACTTTTGGCTGCGATAACACGGCCAACACGGCCCTCTAGCTAAGACCCTGCGTAGGAATAATGTCATACAGTTGATGAATTGAACTTAGGCTATAAATTAACTCTATATAAACTGGATAACTGTATCAGTTCTTTACTGTTCTTTCTAGAAATATAGTGAAGGTCCATTATTACTACAAACTTTATTTATACTCGCTTAAGCCATTGTGCATGTTGCTTTTTAATTTTGCAGAAGTCATCATTCATCCTTTGAAGAGCTTTCAACACTTGTATGTGAAGACAGCAACCAACAGATTGTGCGAGAACTGTTGAAGAAGGTTCGTTCATCTGTACTGTAGCAGTACTGGTTCAGTGAAATCTCCATTGCTATGCAATGCAATTGCTCACTGAGTTTGGGTCTGCATTTTCAGGAAGGTACAGCTAAAACTGTTGAGTTCAAAAAGAAGACATCGTTAACCAGAAAAGGAATCCACCAACGACAACCTGAAAATGTAAGTTTTTCTATTGATTATAAGCCGCCGTGGTGTGAGCCTGAACTACCTGAAAATTATTAACCCACTAATGCGCCCAATTAGGCAATTACCCTGTCTAACACCATACAATTGGAAGAGTCTTGTGCTTTAATGTGTTAACCACACTATCTGGCAATGTGTCCTGTTAACCCATAAATCTATAAATCTGCAATGCACTTAAATGCAGTGCACCCTACTTTATTACTTTACTTTGTCCAATGCAAGATGATTTTACTCATCAACAAGAGTCTTGTAGAGCACTACCAGCCGAACCTACAGTGGATTCCACTTTAAGCTTCCATTTATTACTTGCAATAAATAATGGCCGATTAAAAAGAAGATTAATGTTCCTTTCTCACAGGGTTATATTAGTGGAACAGTACCATATTTAGGAACCTTCCTCACAGATCTCATGATGTTGGATACTGCTTGCCCAGACATGATCGATGTAAGTTTGAATCTATACCACCCATTTCTCTTACACATAAATTTTAACTGTGTGGATGCGTTTGTTCCATTCTATGCTTTCATTATCAGAACAGTGGTGTTAAGGCATTCGTAAGGTTTACAAAGTTTGTTTAAGAGGCGATCGTTGATATTAAAGTAATTTGCATGTCTTATAACCTTTCTTGTGTTCATTTCTAGGGAAATCTAATCAATTTTGAAAAACGACAAAAGGTTTGTATTCTCATTTCACATTTTGTTATAAGAATATGCATCCAAATGTTGGCAAAATTGTAAATTCATATTTGCCAGTAAAGTTTTGATTATATATACCATAAATGGTTGATTTTACGTAACAAATATTGTGTGCAATTTTTGTGTCAAGCTTAATGTACCTGATTTATTTTTTGTCTATTGCTCAGGAATTCGAGATAATTGCCCAAATCAGGTTGTTTCAAGAAGCGGCGAAGAATTACTATATTTTACCAGATAATGATTTCCGAATGTGGTTTGATTCTCTGGAAACACTAACAGAGAATGAATAGTGAGTGAAGATTTTACTAACTTTATTTATGCTGGATAGCTCTACCAGGGGCCGATTGTACAAAAGCCAGATAGCACTATCCAAAATTGTTGAAGAATACGAATGTTCTCATCGAGATGTTTCACAAGCTATATAAAGCATTCGCGTCCATGTTGTATCGAACATACAACCTCTCGCCTTTGGTTGTATATCTGATACAACATGGCTCATGCTTTACTTATTACTTGTGAAATTTATAGTTTTCCTCGTGTTCTTTCAGCTTCACATTATCATGCAGCTTGGAGTCAGGTTCTCTACCAAAAAGACAGGGTTCACTTTTCAAATCCAGGTAATTTTAATCAGGCTTGCTGTAACATCAACCCATTCAGTGGCAGCACTCTCCACTTGATGAGTAAAATCGTCTGGCATTAGACAGTAACATACTAAAGTAGGACGCATCAGGGTACATTGCCACTTAAAGGATTAAGAGGATTCAACCCATTGAGTGGCAGCACTCTCCAGTAAAATCGTCTGGCATTAGACAGAGTAAAATACTAAAGTAGGTTGCATCAGGGTATATTACAAACATGCACTATCCAAAACTTTCAAATGTGACGATCCGCGCACCTGGAAATCAGTGTGTGTAAAGAGCAAAAGAGCCAGATCGCTTAACATTCTAATAAGTTGTTGTTAGTCCTATATTATTGAACATGGACAGTATAGATTTCCGTTATTAGTTTTAGTTTGCTAAGTTGCATTGAAAATTTGTTTTGTACAGTAATTTAATTCTTGTCTATATGGGATCGCCGTAATTGGGGAAACCTGTGGCGAATTCCCTGGCTCTATATGTTGTATTTAAATAGTAGCCGAATCTTATTAAATCATTAAATCATTGCCATTTAAAGTGTTAATTCAGGAAAATAGATAGGTTGCCTTACTATAGTTATCAGAGTGAGAATTTGTTGGAAAATAAATAGAATGAGAGATTTTATCGAAATATGATTTTATTGCTCCTGTAAGTGTCAACATTTCTGCAGTTGGTGATATCTGTTATTCTTCTTCTTGTAGGAAAATGAAAAGTGAAAACGATCTGGTGAAAGCGAGTTCTTTCAAAGACGAAAGGGATGGTCTAGCCTCCAGACGACAGATTTCTCATTCCTCAATGCGCGCAGAAGGATGTCCCAGGATATATGGGTGTGGTCACATCATTCGTGTGTCTATGCAAGGCGAGGATAGTTGCAATCTATACAAAAGTATATGGGTAAGTGTGGACCATCGTTCTGGAGTCACAGCTAGTGTTACGTATATTGTTGGAGTTATGTATCGTAATTATTGAACATTAACCCACTAAGCTGCAGAGCTTCCCCGTTGATGAGTAAAATCAACCGGCGTTAAACCAGGAAAAAAAAAGTAGGGTGCACTGGGGTGCATTGCGGCTCAATGGGTTAATCAAGATATCTGCCCAATGCGTCTAGTTAAAGAGAATCGTATATGTGGGATTGTAGTGTAATTTGAGACAATAGACTATTCACTCATATGTAAATGTTTGGTTATCTTTGTTCCATTCTATCCCTATATTATCAGAACAGTGGCAACTAGGCATGTTAGTTAACACAAAATATAAATTGGGTGAAAATGGTCATAAATATCCAGAAATTTAAGACATACTTTAAACTTGTTTTCTGCTGTTATATCGCATGGTACCGCAGCATTTTCTTTTGTGTCATGATTAGTTTTGCCCAAGTGTAAGAAATACAATACCATACGTTTCTGTATGATACAGCTTTTACTCCTCAGAATTTTCTTTTTGATACAAGCTATTCTTCAATTAGGTCGCAGAAGGTGATCGAACCCCAGCGATCATAAAGAGAAGTCTAATGAAACATCACATCAATGGGGAACAACCCAACGACTATACATTGGTTCAAATATTGCCTAACGGAAGTAAGTGAACGAAATAACTAAAAGAACCGAAGAATGATTAGACTGCAGTTACATCTAAACTCTTTCTAAAGCCCTGGGGCTGGTTGTTCAAAAGCAGATTAGCTTAACCCTGGCTTAACTTAAAATTCAAAATACACTTCCAAACAGCTTGTTTATAAATTTGGAAATATTTCTTCACAAATCATGTCTGGATCAATAGAAGTTTTCTTTTCTGACATTTTGAAATAAATGGACATGCAGAAATATGCAAACTAAAACAGTGGGTTAAATTTTAAACCTGGATTAGCGGTAATCCACCTTTGAACAACCGGCCCCCGGTCAAATGAAAATGAGAGTTGATGAGAATTGAGAAACAAGAGTTTGCATGAGAGTTGACATTATGTTATTCTTGTTTGACTGGAGCTCAAGGGTCCAGTAAGAGCCATTTCCTACAGTTTCAGTGTTACTACAGGAAGATACTGGACCCGTAAAAAGTACCCGTGGAAAACATGCCTGTATATTTAGTTTTTTTGCAGGTAGCCAAAAAACAATTTCAGTTAGCCTTGCGTGGTCCAAACTTGAGTTATGTTTCATATTGTCAAAATTGAGTGTCCAAACAGAGTTTTGGCATTTGAAAACTGAGTTCTGGCATTTGAAAACTGCGTTTTGGCATTTGAAAACTGAGTTTTGGCATTTGAAAACTGAGTTTTGGCATTTGAAAACTGAGTTTTGGCATTTGAAAACTGAGTTTTGGCATTTGAAAACTGAGGTTTGGCATTTGAAAACTGAGTTCTGGCATTTGAAAACGGAGTTCTAACATTTGAAAAAGGAGTTCTGGCATTTGAAAAGGTAGTTCTGGCATTTGAAAACGGAGCTCTGGCATTTGAAAAGGGAGCTCTGGCATTTGAAAAGGGAGTTCTGGCATTTGAAAAGGGAGATCCGACAAATAGACAGACAAACAAACAGACAGTCAAGCCCCGGTGGACATAGAGTAGAAAACCTGTGTTAGAGTCAAACTGGAAGCACTCTTTCAAAGACGACTGAGATGAAATTATAATAGAGTAGAAAACCTGTGTTAGAGTCAAACTGAAAGCACTCTTTCAAAGACGACTGAGATGAAATTATAATCAGACAATTTCATATTGCAGCTAGGAATGGAAGCTTGTACAACCAAAATTCCGCAGATGACTTACTTCTCAAAATCTTATTTTCAGATGAAGTAATCATTCCCAGGAATGCGAATGTCTATTATGCTATGGCTACAAGCAGCAAAGGTGAAGCACTGTATTTCGTTTTACGAAAAGATCCAACATAAACATTCTTAGATAGGTAAAAACAGTCCACCAAAATAACTGCGAACAGACGATACCATCCTGCTTCCTATAAACTGCTGCTTCACCACACAAGGACCAGCTGAATTTGTAGCAAATTCTGGAGCTGCTTTCGATGGTATATACATGCATATCCTGCAGACAACATTTCCCTAAAATAGCTAAATCATAATGCCTTTATTTTTATAAACCATTTGATTTGATCTAAATCTCACAGTAAATTATTGTAAATAGATTGAACGACAACGCATTGATATGCTCATATTTTATTCAAATTGTATTCTATGTATATACTGCATGTACAGATGATATAAATATGGGGTTAATTACTTAATTTTAAATTAATCAATGATTACAAATGTGTATGTATATTAACTTGATCTATGCAACAAGATTGAGTGAACAAAATCCTGACTTAACGTGGTGGACTTATTTGAAAAGTTAGTGGTAGGCACAATGTATATTGGGTGAACAATTCAACACTGTACCATGTACATTAAATTTAACCTGTGCTTTGTGACAAAATGTGATTTTTGATCTTATTTATCTTGGGTTGATTAAAAACAAAAGAATTTTCTAATTGTTTGACTGTTTAATTTATTGACATCTTTTTTAAAAAGGTACAGAAAATTTAATGTGCATTATTTTGTTATTTACTCGATATACAACAGGATTTAAATTGTTAAGAAAAATGTTGGGTGTGAATAGGTTAACCAGATAATTTTCCCACATGGCTTGCTAACCCAGTATGGTGCAATGTGCCCTACTTTCTTTATTTTACGCGTCTAATGCCACATTTTACTTGTCAAGGGGAGAGTCTTGTACTTTAAAGGCTTGTTTACACTTTAGGTGCGACTTTCTTCTGATGCATGTGAACGAGTGAATGAGTTCTGAATGTTCAGATGAGAGTACCATAAGATATCTATGGAGAGTACATGTACTCCAAACATTCGTAACTCATGTACTCGTTCCCATGCATCAGAAGGAGAAAATCACCCTAGAAATCGCAGCAAAAATTGCAAGTGTAAAAGGCCTAATAATTTTACTCAGCGTGTACATTAATTTAACCATTGCTTTGTGACGAAATGAGATTTTTATTTTGCCCAGTGCAAAGCAGCAGATGAAAACCTGGAATTTAGAACATGCAATGGAATTAAGAGATAAATAACTACATGGACTGATAGACAGAAATTTCAAGAATTCTATATTTTTAGCATTTATTAGAAATACCTTGTAATACAGGAAGCAACAGACTATAAAAAAGATATGCTAGACTAATTGTTTCTACTCGTGCAATGAAAAATTATGCATATGTTAGCATATAAATTTCAGATTTCACACAACTTAATGATTAACTGTTCATTGTTACTCCAGTTTACTTTGGTTGGTCAGTGAGTCTGATGTAAGCCTTACCAGAAGGCACCTGGGCAACGTCCACACCCGTAGGGAACAGTTTCCCAAAATCTTCAGGCTTGACCCAAGGGGCGACCATAACTTTTTCACCTTGCTGTAAATAAAAGTAAAAACATTCAACTGAGGCTTTCAAGACTTGTGCTTTATTGATGGCTTTCTGTCAGGGCCGTGACAACCAGTATCTGATTGGAGGGGGGGGGGTGTATTAAAAAATTTGGGTCCATTCCAGGGGGGGGGGTGAGTCAACACAATGTTTACGAAAACAAAAGTTCCCAAAAATTTTTCGCACTAGTAGTTTTCGACCTAAATTTTCAAACAAAACAAATCCTTAATTTCACAAATTTAGCAAATTCCAGCATGCCAGGGCCCCCTTCTCACAAGTTGGGCCCCCTTTTTTACTTTTCTTTAGAGGGGGGAGTGTTACACCCGGACACCCCCCTCCCCCAGGTGTTCCAGGCCTGCTTTCTGTGAAGATAAGACCATCAATAATAACCATCAATAATAATCCTTTCAATAGACTTGGAACAAGTAACATTAACAAAATGTCAAAATGAAGAACTTGTTTTGTTTACTAACCTTCCAGTCTACTGGTGTTGCAACTGCCTTATGCTTTGCTGTCAATTGGACTGAGTCAAGAACACGTAGGATCTCACTAAAATAGTTTTAAATATTTTGCTTCTAGCAATACTCTAACAAACACCAGTCATAGTAACACTACATGGGCCAATAAGGGACCACTCTTACTGGACCTCTAGCAAAAGCAGTCTAGTGATATGAAAAATATGTTAAACTCACTCAAAGTTTCGTCCAGTTGTAGCCGGGTAAAGGAGAGACAACTTGAGCTTCTTGTCCGGTCCAATAATGAATACCTTCATAAAATGATATTTTTTAATTATTGGTTGTTGAAAGATGGAAGATTGCATCCTGCCATTTTTACAATCATAAATTTACTTACAGCTCTGCAGGTCAAAACAATTCCTTGTGCATTGACTTCGTCAGGATCCAGCATGCCAAGTTTGACGGCAAGTTCACGTTTATTGTCAGCAATAATTGGGAAGGGGAATTTTCCTTCGAGTGTGCAGTAACTTTGGATATCTTTGATCCAGCCATTGTGAGACTCGGGAGAATCGATGGACAAAGCAATCATTTTGACGCCTCGTTTTTCAAACTCTGGTGCAAGCTGGGCCACACGGCCGAGCTCAGTGGTGCACACTGGTGTATAGTCTGCAGGATGCGAGAATAGAATTCCCCAGCTAAAAAGGCAAGGATATAAAATTTTATGTGTACTGTATGTAAATCAGTCTTCATTGGCTAATGAGATTAATACCAACAACTGCATAACATCGGGCCATTCATACAAAAGGGTGGGAGCATGTGCAGCTATCACTATATCCCCTCCCTCCTACCAGAATTGGCATATAAGATAGAGGCAGGGGGGGGCAACTGCCCCCAAAAAACTTTAGGGGGGGCAACTGCCCAAAAAAACTTTAGAAAGCCTTGGAAGTTCGAACAAATTCTGGGAAAAATCAAGAAAATTCAGGCAGATTTATTCAGTGCCATAGCAAGCTCGATAATTGGGGGGGCAGATATTCATGTTCTGCGTTATTAATTTCTTTAGAAATCGATTGTTTTTAATGGTCTGTGAACACGAATATTTGAATATCTGCACCCCCTCCCCCAATTATCGAGCTTGCTACAACACTGGATTTATCAGGAAATATGTTAAATTTCATTACAATCCTCCATAAAAATTTGGGCAAAACTTACAACTGCTCCCCTCCCCCAGAAAGCCTCAGCCTATTTCTACAAGGAAATTATATAAACTGTGATCCCTTATAAATGCAATATTGGACAAATATGTTTATTAAAAAGTCAGATAATTGGTTTAAATTGAAACTATTGACACGTAAGCCGATCTCAAGTTATGCACACACAGGTTTCAAACTATAAATGCTATAAACTGGATATTTTGCGTATCATATAAGCACAGAGTACATCACTTAAAGTGGTGAAAGGTACACAACTGTAAATGACATTACGTGATAAGATCGCTACTTTTACCTAAGGTACAAGTGCAATACCGTTCTTATCTCCGAACTAACTGTTACAAACCTGCTGCCCAAGAATTCATGAAATTTTATTGGTCCTTGATTAGTTTGGGCTTCAAAATCAGGAAATACGTCTCCCAAGTTGACCATAGTTGTAGCGTGGTGCTGTTTCTTGCGCGAAATACACAGCTGAAATGTTTTAACGTGTGCTGATGATCTGGAATTGTGCGGAAATCCGTGGAATGCTTTTCATGCAATCGACATATGATATGCAGCGCAATATACATATGAATGCAGTCAATTATGCTTCCAATATGACGCAAATAAAAAAATCTCAGCGCGCAAATCCCCGTCCGTTTGGATTCGTGTTAAGGATTGTAAGGATGGTTTACACTTTTCACTATCAAATGTTTGTTTTATAGTGTTGAATCAGTTCCCTCTTTACATTTCTTACAAATCCTAGAATAGAATTTAGAATTCTTAGAATTTACCAATGCGCGTGCGCAAAATTCCTCATATGATGAGTCGCGATTTAGGAACAGTTACTGTTTTTAGGGTTAGGATCAGGGTTTGGATTAGGAAAAGGGTTAGGATTAGGTTGGGATTAAAATTAGGGGTTTTTTAAATAAAGCTTTATTACGGCCTTTATTATAGCCTGACCTAATTACGGGTATTGCTAAGTGTATATAAAGTGAAAAGTTAACTAGGGTTTGGATTAATAAAGTAAGGGTTAGGTTTAGGGTTAGGAGTAGGTTGGGATTAGATTAGGATTAGGTTTATGAATGCAAAAATTAGGATTTGAGGATTAAGATCTTCAAAATTAGGATAATCGATAGCCTGCGAACCTGCGAATCGGGTGACACACTTGCCGCCGGAAGTTGCACCAACTTTCGATTTACGATATATTTTAAAGTTTCACTTCAAACATGAATTTATATTTCCTTTCCGGTAAATGTATTTTATAACCTAAAACAGAGATGTTTTTTAATGCAGATGATGATGATGACTTTTCTCCTTCGTTTGGGGCTAGCGCTGGCGGGTAAGATTGCTTTTATCGCATTGAAATAATGTGCATTTTTCGCACCATTTTCAAACATGTATAGTGTATAGAACCTTGCCTAGTTTTCGGACAGCGAAATTTCGCAGCCTGTATTTCGCCACTGAAAATTGCTAGAAAGTTGAAACTTTTACAAATGGTGGTCGCTATCCTATACTATCTTATTCTAAAAGATGGAGCTCTAAACGTTGTCGGTTATTATGTATTGTAGTATTTAATATTTAATATTTGATATAGTGAGTCAGTTGGAATCACATGGTGCTGATTCTAAACATGTTTTTTTTTATAGTAAATCAAAGTTGTCGTCGCTGTTTGGGGCGGACCAGGCCGCTTTCAATTCATCAAAAAACGACTCGTTGACATACACTGCACCAAAACAACCTAAGAAACAAACTGGTAGGTTTCAAGTCTTTCAAATAAACCAAGTTTTACATTCTGTGACAAAAATTGACACATGCCAAAGCAATCTTGTGACAAGCTGTATTAAAATACTCCCATCCCAAAGCAGGAAGGATACGACATGGTTTGCTTTGGCAGAAACTTTCAACAATAGACACTTTCTGAATATGCTGGCTGGGGCTGGCAGTGAAAATTACTTATTTACAATTAATGGCACTCAAGCAAATTCAGGAAGTACAGTACGATATATATACGTGATGAAAGCTTTCTGTCTGCTCAACATCACATGATCGTACTTGTCAGGGGCATTTAATTAAAGACCGATTTACACTACACAACTGTTGCCTAAAACCAGGGCCGGATTAACGTTCCGCAGGGGCCGTGGCATATTATTGGAGCGGGGCCCCTTGACTTCAACCGTCCGAACGGCATTGTAAATCCTGAATTCAGTAAAATTAAAAAATATCATTTTGTATTTCATGCGTTGAAAAGTTTCCTGTGTATTTACAAAAAGAGAAAGAATTATGCATCAATATAATATTTTGTGTATTGTATTCGAACTGAAATTTAACCCGATTTATACCATTAACATTATTATTTACAGGGTAAAGATAGCTAAACATGATAGCATCCATATAAACTTCTGCCGCCTTCCACGAAATTCAGCGATCTTTTAGTATTTAACAGTTTGCTGCAAATTTCGAAATTTTCTGAACCCTATGATTTTCTGGCCTCGCGATCGCTTTTTTGGAGCCTCTTGCCCAAAGAAGGAACAAAAAATTTTGTGTTTGCGGGCCTGCTTTTGGAACCTCGCCTTTTTTAACTTTGGGGCCTCGTGGTTTTTTTAGTTTGGGGTTTTGCTTTGGGGGCCTTGGACTCTTTAGGGCCCCGCGCTGTTTGGATCCCGCGCTAAAACAGGGAACAAAATAATCGTTTGGGCCCCCGCACTTTGGGGCCTCGATTTTTAAATCTTGGGAGCCTGTAGCGTTTTCTGGGAACCTTGGATTCTTTGGGGCCCCGCGCTGAAACACTAAAACAAGGAAGAAAAAGAAAACATTTGGGGCTGATTTTTTGGGGCCTCATGTTTTCTGGGGGACTTGGGCTCTTTGGGGCCCCGCACTGGCGCATTGTTTGGGCCACGCGCTGAGACAGGGAACAAAAAATTCACAAAAAGAATAGAAGAGAGAAGCGCGGGGCCCCAAAAAGCGTGGGGCCCGTGGCATATGCCGCTTCTGCCATATGGTTAATTCGGCACTGCCTAAAACTGTCCAACATGCAACCTGCTTACAACTTGAGTTTTACTGTGTAGATCGAGCACACAACTCTGCGTTGTTGTAAGTTGTAATACGAGACAGTTTTAGGCAAAAGTTGTGTGGTATAAATCAGCCTTGATGTGTTAACTAGACTATTTGCCCACATATCTTGTTAATTCAAGTAATTGAGCCACATATTAATGCAAACAATATTATTCATCCGGAGGAAAACACTGTTAGTTAATGAGTTAATTAATTAATTAATTAACAATTATTAATTAATAACCCAGCAGGCAAAATGACGTTGATTCAACGTTGAATCAATGTCAGACATGGCCTCCCAGACGGTGGATATAGACGTTGAAAAAGAATTGAAATGCAACTTGGATCGACGTTACACTTTTGACGTTGAAACAATGTTGGGATTAGGTTGCCAATCTTGTGAACCATAATTCAACATTGAATCTGTGTTAAAACAACGTTGAGATTACTTCACATATAATCAACCATGAATGGACGTTGATTCAACTTCTGTTAGTTGATGTTCAACCAACGTTTTGTAAAACGATATCAGAGCAACATTGATATTAGGTTGTCAACATCACAACCTTTTTCTAACAAATTCCAATGTTGAAACAACGTTGTGTCCCCGGTGAGAATTATCTAATTGTAATTGATTAATCAGTACCAGTAATTGAAACTGAGTTGATATATCTGTAGCATCCGCTGGTCAAGAAACCCCTCCAGCTGTTATACATGCTGTTGCTGTCCAAGTTTTTAAATTGTGAGTTTTTGAAGTTTAGTTTTTGTCACTTGTACTGAAACAAAGCTATACTGTACCTCTGACTATACCTTGTATTCTAATTCTGGAACTTTTCCCCCGATGAAGTGTAAATGGCCAGTATGCTAGTCAAGGAAAACTCGGAGTGGCTGTGTTAGGAAACCATGTTAAAAAAGAGGTAATTAATATATAATCTTATGTTCTTTTTTTTCAAAATGCTACAAAACTTTATATTTTATAGAAGTACATTATTTCTGTTATTTTAGTATCGTTTACTTGTATACGCTGGCAAAAAACAACAAGTTACAAGTGCAAAAATAACAAGCAGTTTTTCGTTTGTGGTAAGTTCTAATTAACCCATTGATTGCGGGAACCACTGAGTATTTTCATAAAATACAATACAACGGTAACTCCGAATAAAGTAAGCATTTTGATTCAACGTTTTGACTTTATTTAGTCATCATCAGGAATGGTTATATTACATGTGCATGTGTTATATATACTCTACGTAATTTGATATATAATTTAAAAAAAAAAACGATAGTTCTCTGGATGCTTTAGTCCCATGATTCAGTTCCGGTTTTTGTCGATGAATGGCGAGTGCTTCTTTGAACAGCAGATTTGGCCAGTGCTTATCCCTATCTTACCCTGGATTCCAGAGCCTTCGACAGTAAATAATAAATTGAAATGTCGCGAAGGCTCTGGTTCAACGGGGCGATTTTCGCGACATTTCAATTTATTATTTACTGTCGAAGGCTCTGGAATCCAGGGTAATCCCTATCTATGATGTTGCAGTTGTTCAGTAGGAAGGCTGTTAGGTTAAATTGGTCAGTGTTGGGTTTGTCTATGTTCAGTTGTAATAGATTTGTCAGATAGTTGAATTGTTCGCAAGTGTTAATGTGTTTATAAATCTCTGAGTTTTTGTCTGTGATTGCATGTTCATTCAGTCTTGTGTAGAGGCATGTGTCTGTTTTTCCTATGTATGTTTTGACGCACGCAGGACATGAAAATTCTCTCATCTGGCATTTGAAAAAGTAAATAACACAATATGGCAACTCAGGGTGCAATACCACTTATAAAGGGTTAAATAATACAACAATAATTTAGCTATGATTCTGCATTTAGCAACCACCTGTATTGAGCAGCCTTTCATCTCTTAGGTTCAAGCAAACCATTACTCATCATTTTATGAACCTGTGTTAACCCATTGAGTGGCAGCACTCTCCACTTGACGAGTAAAATTGTCTGCCGTTCGACAGAGTAAAATACTAAAGTAGGGTGCACCAGGGTGCATTGCCACTTAAAGTATTAAGCAGCCTTTTATCTCTTAGGTTCAAGCAAACAATTACTCATCATTTTATGATGATGCGAGGTCGTCATGGTCGCTGAGATTTGATTCGTCACAAGCTGTGATTGACTTTGCTAAACAGGTAAATAAACACAAGACAAATTCTCTGAACAAATTAGCTAGAATAGCTTGCAAGTTCATCTGTTTGAACAACGTGTGCAGATATATAGTTTGTTTTCATGGATGAGCTGTGTTTTTGCTGCATTTTTGCACTGACCAATTATTGGTAGTAGTATATGCTTCACACCATAGCTCTATCTCTCATGTAATATATGGACATTTCCTCATCTTAGGTTGGTCTGGCAAGATATAACTCGACTCCTGGAAATTTGATAAAACAAGATTTACAACCTGGAGATGGACAGGTGATATGCAGTTTTGATTAGCAATAATTATATTATGCTTGTGATGTTACTCTGAGTGTATATCCACACCGGGCAAGCTTGAAAAATATGCCTGATCACGGTGGGAATCGAACCTACGACCTTTGGAATACCAGCCGAATGCTCTGCCAACTGAGCTACGCGGTCTGGTCGGTTCGAGTATGTGATATTTCGGAACAGAATCTAGTTCCTTCTATATAGTGTGAATCGTAGGTTCGATTCCCTGACCTGACCACGGTGGGAATCGTAGGTTCGATTCCCACCGTGGTCAGGCATATTTTTCAAGCTTGCCCGGTGTGGATATACACTCAGAGTAACATCACAAGCATCATATTCACCTGAGTACATTACACCAACACAGAAAAATCATGAATAATTATATTGCAGTGCCCTTGTGAAGTGGGCAGATATGTCTGAGAATTTATCTAAAAAGCAAACTATTAATGTTTGAAGCAAACTAACGAAGCTATGCTGTGATATTTTGTATTAACACATGTTGACAAGCCTGGCAGTGCACATAAATACTGCATCTGCTTTTTAGTCTTAATTAACCTCTTTCTCAAAAAGCTCATCTTCCTTGCATAATCTGTGTGTTTCTGACACAGGCAATTGAAAGTGGTGATGCTATTGAAGTCAAGTACACAGGTTCTTTGTGGACAAATAACACATTTGGAAAGGTACTGTGTGCTGTGCAATTAGAAGTTTTAGCCAGAATGAGTGTTGTATTCATATATAAATAGCTGGCTTAATTCTTTTTTGTTTTTAGGTTTTTGATTCAAATGCAACTGCAGATAAATTGTTCAAGTTGCGCCCTGGTAAAGGGAAAGTGATTAAGGTATGATCATACGAATCTATCTGATTGAATCAACTTTCAAATATATCAAAAACACTGGACATGATTTGATCATTTTTTCTCTTGCAGGGCTGGGAAGATGGAGTTCTTGGGATGAAAAAAGGTGGAAAGCGTTTGCTAGCAATTCCACCTGAACTTGCATATGGAGATAAAGTAGGTGCATCTTACTCATTATTTAATATTCCACATACGTCATAATATTCATTCATTGTCTGAAATTCTAACAGGGTGTTCCATCTCGTGTGCCTCCGAAGTCCACCCTGCTTTTTGAAGTTGAAATTTCAAGGGTAAGAAAATATGCTTGTGATGTTACTCTGAGTGTATATCCACACCGGGCAGGCTTGAAAAATATGCCTGGCCACGGTGAGAATCGAACCTACGACCTTTGGAAAACTAGCCAATGCTCTGCCAGCTGACAGTTGGCAGAGCAATGGGCTAATATTTCAAAGGTCGTAGGTTCGATTCCCACCGTGGCCAGGCATATTTTTCAAGCTTGCCCGGTGTGGATATACACTCAGAGTAACTTAATTCACAAGCATCTTATTCACCTGAGTACATTACACCAACACAGAAAATATCATGGTAAGAAAATAGTTGAAGAAGTTTTTTATCATAATATACATTCTTAAACTATTAATTTTAATTCTCATTTTTATGAAGGTGAAGTTTTCAAAAGAAAAGGCAGTGATACAGCAGTGTAGTGATACAACAGCATCAACACCACCTTCTGCGCATGAGCAAAGCCACAAAGACGACGTTAACTCGTCATCCAGTTCAGGTCATTCCAAGTAGGTCACCCAGCAAAAAATGAACGCTCAGCCATTTCACTTTCAACCGAAACTACGATATTTCATATGCTTAATCTGCCTTGTTTTGTAACTAAATTACTTGGAACTAAATAGTAATCTAGTTTTGTAACTAAATTACTTGTAACTAAATTACTTGTTTTGTAACTAAATTACTAAATTTTCGTCAAGTAGTAGCGATTAAATAACTGTCTAACAAAGGTGTTTGCTCAAAACGTTGAGATGTTTTCTGGTACTGTAGCAGTTCAGGGAGAAACCACGAGAGCTAATGTTATTTTTATGCTTGTTATAGAGACGACGAAGATCTCCGCGAAAGAACTGCCTCGCTGAACAAAGAATTGTCATTGGTACACCATTTTTATTTTCCATACTCTTACATTTTTTAGAGATTCTGTTTTCTTATACGTGCAGACTTGTAGCAATGCTGTTCCAACAACTTGTCAACAGGATGTGTTCGCACTGCTTGTTCCCAGCTTGTTGACAAGTTGTCCACGACTTGTTGACAACTTGCTACAAGTTTGTTGAGCTCAACAGCTTTGTTTCAACAACTTGTCATCAGAATTTGTTCGCACTGCTTGCTCCCAGCTTGTTGACAACTTGCTACAAGGTTGCTGAACTCAACAGCTTTGTTACAAGTTGTTTCAACAACTTGTCATCAGAATGTGTTCACACTGCTTGTTCCCAGCTTGTTGACAACTTGCTACAAGGTTGCTGAACTCAACAGCTTTGTTACAAGTTGTTTCAACAACTTGTCATCAGAATGTGTTCACACTGCTTGTTCCCAGCTTGTTGACAACTTGCTACAAGGTTGCTGAACTCAACAGCTTTGTTACAAGTTGTTTCAACAACTTGTCATCAGAATGTGTTCACACTGCTTGTTCCCAGCTTGTTGACAACTTGCTACAAGGTTGCTGAACTCAACAGCTTTGTTACAAGTTGTTTCAACAACTTGTCATCAGAATGTGTTCACACTGCTTGTTCCCAGCTTGTTGACAACTTGCTACAAGGTTGCTGAACTCAACAGCTTTGTTACAAGTTGTTTCAACAACTTGTCATCAGAATGTGTTCACACTGCTTGTTCCCAGCTTGTTGACAACTTGCTACAAGGTTGCTGAACTCAACAGCTTTGTTACAAGTTGTTTCAACAACTTGTCATCAGAATGTGTTCACACTGCTTGTTCCCAGCTTGTTGACAACTTGCTACAAGGTTGCTGAACTCAACAGCTTTGTTACAAGTTGTTTCAACAACTTGTCATCAGAATGTGTTCACACTGCTTGTTCCCAGCTTGTT